GTTGGTAAATTATTTGAATCCCACCACTGTTCCAGTCCCACTCCAACCATGAAAGCCAATAGGGTGACCTTGGGCCACTCACTCTCTCTCAGCCCAACTTACCTCACAGGATTGTTTTCTGGGGAAAATAGGAGGAGTGTTTGTTGAATATATTTATCGCCTTAATGGCAGGATATAAATAAATAAATAGAGAGTCAGAATATTAAAAAGGAAGTACTGATTCATTGTATGTAACAGGGCATGGTTTTAAAATTGATTGCATACATAAATCTCATGTAATTCATTGTTATGGTTTTGAAAAGTCACTGGACAAATTCATAAGAGGAATAAGCTACATGTTACTTTTGGAATGAAATGTATATCTGAAATACCATCCTTTAGGGAACAGTAGGGGGAAATGGTTCTTGGTCTTTACCTTTGGTCCATGCCTTTCTTTTTTCATTATTATTATTTTAAACACATAAGCACATCAACAAAAACAAACACATAACTAAAAAACAACATAGGGACAATAAGTCTCACTTATTGGTCCATGCCTTTCAACAGTCACTTTCATCTAATCCTGAATTGTATTTTCATCTATATAAATATTTTTTTACTATTTTATTAATTTTTGTGTTAAATATTTGTGAACTATTTTAAATACTTGAAGCAGAATAAAAGTATTTAAGTAGCTGCATCTGGGAATTGTTTTCCTCCATTTCTTATTTGCACTCCAGCTTGCTTCTTACTTGCTCTTATTTTATTCATTAAATTCATTTTAAAGACCCACATTGAATATTCTAAATAGTTTGTCCTTAATTTTAAAATGAAAATACTGCATCATGTGTTGTGTGCATGTAGGAATCATCTAGGAAAGATGTTGAATTCTACACACATTGTTTTTGTTGCCTTTTCCATTTTTTCCCCTCCAGGGTTCCAGAACATCTTGTGAAAAGCATAACTTGGCAAACTCTCCAAGCAGTGAATTTTTGTCACAAACACAATGTAAGTCGTTCCATCCCAACATTGCCTCTTTCTGTTCTGCACTCACTGTATCAGTTTGTTTTTGCAGGGCTACAGACTTTGAGCTTACTAAATCAGAGAAATGTTTGTATTTCCATCTTGTATGTTGTATTTCCTTGTACCTCATTGTTGCAGAACGAGATCTAAATCTTCACCTCTTACGTATAATTGCTATAATTATCTCAAGAGTGGATCAGCTAGATATAAAGCTGTTTTCCACATTTAAATCGTTTTTAGAGAAATGTTTTCATGGGGGATGGCTGATTTGTCTCCATTGTTGACATTTTGCCAAAAGAGGTAGAAGTGTCCCCCTTCCATGGTAAATTTCCTATCCCTTAAAAGAGAGGTTGGCAACTTTTTCAGGTTGGCATTTTAAAAAATAATAATGCAAAAGATCATAGGTTTTTGTGATTCCTAGTATTTTGGTTATTTTAATTTTTGAACATGTATTATAGTAATTTTGATTGGATTGAATCTTTTGTGGAAGTAATAGCTACCATATTGCTTCCTCTTCCTCTAAAGTATGTTCTCCAAGTTTAGTAATTGTGGATTGTTGTTCCAGAATTCCCAACTTCTGCCCATGCTGATTAAGAATTTTATAGTTGCAGGTTGGGAAAACAGAATCTAAAATTCCAGATTATGGGGAACATGCATAGCAATTCATGTACAAATTTGTTTCTTAACACTTTGTTATATGCCAAAACTTCAAAGGAAGACAAATGTGACTGGCATGCATTTCTTATGTCCTTATTTTCTCCACAAATGAAACAGGGTTGCAGATGTTTATTTCTTAGCAATCATACTTCAGAAAAAAAGTGAGAGGACCATATTGTCTCAAGAGTTAGATCTCAAGACTAGACTGCCAGAAGTCTGTGCCTGCGATTAATAAAAGGAAGCATTGTGTTTTCTCCTCGAACGTATCATTATGTCTCTCTTTCTATGTCTAGTGCATACACAGAGATGTAAAACCAGAGAACATTCTCATAACGAAGCATTTTGTCATTAAGCTCTGTGACTTTGGATTTGCTCGCTTATTAAGTAAGTTTATTATATGAAATTCAGTTCTCTTTCACTAGGCAGAGACCCTGCAACAATACATGAATGTATGATTTTTTTTCCTGTTTAATCCTGTTACTAATGTTTCTCTTAATGAATAAAAGGATAAAAACCACAGTTACTTTAAAAAATTTTTAAAGCACTTAATTAATTGAAAGTAATTACCCTTTTATTTATCCTTTATCTACTTTCATACTCATTTCAGAAAGGGTAAAAATGTAACACCAAAACATACAGATATAAAAAATCAAATGCAGATTTGTTAGCTATGTCAGAGACAGTACAGATGTTTGTGCCTTGTTCTACATAAGTCATTTATATAAATTATATTTCTGCAACTAAGTGCATGTGAACAAAAAAGCAATCCGACAACTGAATTACTGGTACTACAATATTCATGCAAAGACAAAATAAGAAGTTCAAAACATGTTACCTTTACTCTTTCTAAAAATGAGTACCAGAGTTAGTAAACAAGAGCAGGTTTGCTTCTTTTGTGAGCAGTTGAGAGTGAACCTTACTGTATAGTGTTTGTAATTCATTTATTATTCATAAATATCCTTTTATTTATATGAGCCTTGGTGGCGCAGTGGTTAGAGAGTAGTACGGCAGGCTACTTCTGTTGACTGCCGGCTGCCTGCAATTTGGCAGTTCAAATCCCACCAGACTCAAGGTTGACTCAGCCTTCCATCCTTTCAAGGTGGATAAAATGAGGAGCCAAATTGTTGGGGCCAATAGACTGACTCCGTAAACCACTTAGAGAGGGCTGTAAAACACTGTGAAGTGGTATATAAATCTAAGTGCTATTGCTATTTCCTTTGTCCTTGAAAGTAAGATTTAGACTAGAGAGAGAGTGTGTCTTTTGTCCCCTACTCTAAATGGTTCTTCTGTTTCTGCAATCCTTTCTTCAAATCCTTTCAGCTGGGCCCTGTGACTACTATACAGATTATGTGGCTACCAGGTGGTATCGTTCTCCTGAGCTCCTTGTAGGTGACACACAATATGGCCCTCCTGTAGATGTCTGGGCTATAGGCTGTGTCTTTGCTGAACTTCTTTCTGGCATCCCTCTCTGGCCTGGAAAGTCTGATGTGGATCAACTTTACTTAATCAGGAGGACATTAGGTAAGCGAAGGTTACCAAAAAGCAGAAATACCTCTAAGTTGTCTGTTGTTTCTTACCTCCTCCTTATCCCCCACTCCCCACTTCTAGGGTGTTCATGTGAAGTTTGACTGTCTCCTGTGTAAACATCCTGGAGAAGCATGACATGTGTTCAGAGGTGGGTTCCTACCAGTTCAGACCCGTTTAGTCGAACCGGTAGTAACTTGGTGGCCTGGGTCGCTGGAACCAGCAGCGGCCCAGGCCTGCCATGCCCCCGAACTGTTTCTCTCAGCGGCGCCATAGGCACCACCATCTTGTTTTTACCTTCTGCGCATGCAGAGCAATTTTTGTTGCACTATGCATACGTGTGCAGTGTGCATCAAGCATGTGGGGGGGTGCATCCCTGAGCGAACTGGCAGTAGCAACAGCCAGAACCCACCCCTGGATGTATTGCATTGAGTCATGGAACTATTTTGTTAATTGAAGTAAATTTTTGTATATGTTCATCAACTTTCTTCATCATGATACTTTGGAGAGAGGGAAGAAGAGTGACTATTGAAGGCATCCTTATTCCTTAAGGATTCCTACTTATTTCTACTTCATAAATAATAGTACCTATTACTATTCCTAATTCCTTATCCCCCCCAAAAAAAATTCAAGGATTGTTTACTTTTAAGTAACCTTTAGCAACCTGAAGCCTTTAAAGGCAAGAAAAGTAAAGCCAAAATCCAGCCCATTTTAAAGTGGGAGAGGTGGGAGGGGGAGGGGGATCAGCAAATTTGAAGAAAAGACTTTTTTTTTTGCCAGTCCTGGGGACGAGTGTTTGGCTGGTTACCTAGGCACCCGTATATCTGAGTCAAGCCATTCTTCACTCCCATCTGCTTCTGTTGCAAACCTCACACCCGGATGAGGCCTTGGTGATGCAAATGTTTAAACTGACGGCACTATTTGATTCTTGTTCAAAGGTGATCTCATTCCCAGGCACCAGCAAGTCTTCAGCACAAACCAGTTCTTCAGTGGGGTGAGGATACCCGACCCAGAAAGCATGGTGAGAGCTGCCCTCCTCAGTGGTCTTACACAAGCATAGCACGGTATCACCACTGGACCCGAGTTATCAGGATGGCAAAAATGTGGACAACCAACAGATGCCCAGCAGAGAGAGAAAAAAAACCCCTGTAGCTGGCAGCCTAGACAACAATAGCCTGAGAAAACAGAGCTAGCTTGCGTTTTCTCCTCTTTTCAGTGCAAGGAGCAGTGTTTTTGAAGGAGCAGAAAATACTGCTTTTACAGATTAGCTATTTAGGGACCCAGGACGTTGCTTGGTTACCAATTGTTGCCTAAAAAGAATGGGTCACTTTTGGATATGACTCTAGAGAGACATGTAACTAGGTGCAGTCTGGAGGTCAACACCCAAATTGGTTTCTAGGAGGGGGGAAGGATTGCTATTGGAAACAGAAAAGAAAGCTGCAGACTGCAGGACTTGTGATAAAAAGCTGCAAAGCAGAAGAGCCAATTTATTTCTTTAATTCTCTCATCTGTCCTGGGAGCCATTCCCTTAAAAGAAAAACGCATGTTTTGTTTTGTTTTTCTTTTTTTGTTATAGGAATACAATGGGGTTGGGAAATCCTTAATAACTATGAAGAAGATTCCGCTGATATTTATTTTCCTTTTTTTTTGTTGTTTAACTAGGAGCCACTAGAAATGAAATTCCCCACTATTTCCTATGCTGCTCTGGCACTAATGAAGGTGAGGAAAACATCTTGATGTTTGTACTCATTTATTGGGGCTCATAAATGCAGTACCATCTCGCATGCAGAGGTGGGCTGCTGGGGGTTTGGGAGAACATCTAGCTAAGATTCTGTGCAGTTCGGAGAACCCCCAAATCCCACTCCTGGCTGGCTCCGCCCATCCCTCCCCTCCCAGGTGTCCCTATGTGGCCCGTTTTGAATGCAGGTAAGTGCACGGCACGCACAGAGGCTCGAGGAGGGCAAAAATCAAGCCTACCGGAGGCCTGTTTCCGGCCTCTGGAGGGCCTCTGGTGGCCTCCTAGAGGCTCAAGGAAAGCCTCCGGAGCCCAGGGAGGGCAAAAACGCCCCCCCCCCAATGGTGCAGGCTGACTGGTTCCACCACAAAACCGCAGTAGACTAAAGCGCGTGTGACTAAAGCGCGGTGACAAAACCGCACCGTCAAAACCGCGCGACAACAGCGCGCCGACAACAGAGCGCCAACAGAAGCGCGCTGTAACATAAGCGCTGTTGTGGGCGCGCTTTTGACATCGCGGTTTTAGCGCCGCGGTGTTGTCGGCGCGCTTTAGTCTACTGCGGTTTTGTGGTGGAACCAGTCAGCCTGCACCATTGGGGGGGGGGGGCGTTTTTGCCCTCCCTGGGCTCCGGAGGCTTTCCTTGAGCCTCTAGGAGGCCACCAGAGGCCCTCCAGAGGCCGGAAACAGGCCTCCGGTAGGCTTTATTTTTGCCCTCCTCGAGCCTCTGTGCGTGCCGTGCACTTACCTGCATTCAAAACGGGCCACATAGGGACACCTGGGAGGG